ATATACTTATAGACACAAAGAAGAGAAAAATGATGCTGCTGCAATATGCGGTTAATTGCACCATACTAGTACTTCTCATTACTTTTGCGTTCAGCTATCAAACACCAAGAAACCAGGAACGCGTCGATAGTCGATTTGTTCTGGCATCATTTTTATTTGGAGCCGAGGGAAAGTCTAGCGCGGAGTTTGAGAAGGAAATCGAAAGTATTGAGGACTTTTTAGAAATTATCGAAGACATAGGGAATGCTTACTACGGTGCGCCTGAGTCGTCGAGTGGTGCATTTATGCATTACGTTTACGGGAAGGACAACTCAACACCGGTTGCTCCACTCCTTGAGATATCCTTATACGAAGGGTACTACGGATCTTCAGCACGCTCAACAGTTCTGCACGAAAAGTTTGATATTTTAGAGGAGAACCCCCTGGGGCCCTTTGCAAATCCAAACTCTTTGATAAATGAGAGTGAGCCATGCGACCCACAACGAGACGCCGATGGTTCGTACTTCATTCCTTGTCGGGCCTCAGCGATTGGAGAGCTTTTTGACCGTCTCATCTGTGTTAAGCTGTCCTTCTCATTTTTCTCATTGGTACGAAGCCAGGACGGCAGACCTCAACCTAGAGTGTGGTTTGCCGAGTTTCTTTTTGAGTTGTCTGGGCATGGCTCTGTGATGGTCATGAAAGTTTCCCTTGACAGTGTTGAGAAGCGTGTGCCTGAACGTTTACCCGTAATGATATCCTTTGCTCTCTTGCCCTTGGTGGCGATGGGGTTTCTGCTACGCATCCGAACGTTCCCACGGTTTTCGGCGCCTATAAAACAATTACTTCGAATGCAACCTAACCCCTCTTCTGAGAGGCATTCACGGTTCTGTTTTGATACCCGTACTGGGGAAGGTGGTTGGCGGTGGCTGGGTTTTATTTCCGACATGCTAACACTATCGTTTAGCATCACCTCACTTGTGGCTCAACACATGCACAGGACGGACACCGCTGTTGAGCAGGCAGTAACGATTCTGCTTGGGTTTGCCACGCTTGTACACTGTGCCCGATTAGTGTCTATCTTGAAGTTGTTCCCTAGTCTTTACGTCGTGTTCAACGGTATCGTGACAGCGGGAAGGCAACTGTCTATGTACGGACTAGCTGTCTTTCCCATATTGTTTGGCTACTCTGTCTGTGGAACTGCAGTCTTTGGGGCGTACGGGAGATACTTTAGCACGGTACCGCTGTCGATTATCAGTCTTTTTTGTGCCACCTTTGGTGACAACCTCATTGATACCTTTTTGGAGATGGATCAGTCGCCCTTTCTTCTGCAGCTCCTTTTCAGCCGTTTTTTCATCATGACCTACTTGCTGTTCTTTATTTGCAACGTCCTCAACGTGGCTCACAGTATCATTCAGGACTCCTACACGTATGCCGTGCGAATGTACATGGCAGCGCGCCGTGAGGGCAATAACGCTGGCCGTAGCGCTGCCAATATGAACACAGAGGAGCTGAGCAACATGTTGGAAAAGATGCGAGGGTGACACAGCCATTGCATGAGTTTCCAAATATGTTTTGCTTTATCACCACGGCTAGGTTTATCAGTACCATCTTACTCTGTTCCAATCTCCCTCAAATTGGGTGCTGTTTGAACCACGGAGTGCTCTGGTGATGGCGATAGTGCATGTATTGAGTGCCTCTTTCCCCCCACCCCTCCTCCTCCTCCTCCTCCATAACTCGCAGTGCATCTTAAACGTGATTCTTTGTGTTCGGTTGGATCTAATTTGCCTACTTTTCCTTTTTA